TTAGAATATTATAATTAGATTAATTAGCCATGCTTTCCCTTAAACACATCATGTTCTCAAGTTTTGAAATGAATACAGAATTCTAATTAGTGTTTTTTTTTACGCTAGTGACGGTAAACTGAGAAATTGTTCCTGGCGTATGAGAGATGTCGGCGCGCCCCACTACTTGGACATGGCAGCTCCGAGAAAGTTAGTTGTGGTGAGCACACAAAGTATGGCCGCGTGTCGGGGCACCCAGAAAACTTACCATATTCAACCATACGTTTGTTGTTAGGATTTGGTTCTTTTCATCCTAAAACAAGAAAACATGTCTAGACTAGTAATTAAAGCTTCAGGAAAAAGATAAAAAAAATTAAAAAACAACAGGTTATTAATATTTGTTAAGCTAATGGCATCAGCTATTGAGCAACACTTGTAAGTAAGGAAAATTTTTAAGCTCATTCAACTTAGGAAACCATTTGACTGCCTGACATCAAAGGAAAATGGGATTTTTGGATAATTAATTGAATAATTGTACCTACTCACAGATGGGCCTGAAAGCCCTTTTGTGCATATAGTGTTTATATAACATATATATATATATATATATATATATATATATATATATATATATATATATATATATATATATTGGCGAATAGGTAAAACTTGCGATTTTAGCTTAAATAGGAAATATTTTCCTTGCCAATAAGGCAAGCGAAAATTTGTTTATATAATAATTTCGCAAAAATCATTCTGACCCTAACAAAAAAAAAAATACATGTTTCATTGTGTTTGTTCATTATTAAATTATTGTAAATTTATCTAAAATATATTTAGTTGGTTTGCGCTTGTTTTACAAGGTTATGTAAGTTTTCTAAGTTTATTTTGGTACAAAATTACTAATTTTTACATTAACATAAATGAAAATATATATCTTTAAACGTACAAGAGAAAATTTTAGAAAGGACGCAAGAGTTCTTACTAACTGACGAGTTTTACCTGTTCGGCACGACATATATATATATATATATATATATATATATTATATATATATATATATATATATATATATATATATATATATATATATAATTATATATATATATGTATGTATGTATGAACATACATATAAAGCAAAGCATATGCACAAAAGGTAACCCACATTATCCCTCTGAATTGAACACTGACAATGAGCCTACAACTATTATTATAGTGAAGAATAGCACATTTTGGTTACTTGAAAGCAATTAAGAATGACAGAAGCAGTTAATAAATATAACAGAGGTAGTAACACAAGAGTTATTGTGTGTGAATGAATGGCGAACAGATTTTTTTATATGGAAATAGTTAGGGAAGTCTGAAACATAGAACTTTAAGGGGGTCATTTAGTTGATTAACAAAATGAATAAATTTTAATTAATTGAACATTTAATCTACATGCTGGACTTAGACTACAATTTCATTATGTTTCATCATATTTTTTTGTAATGTGTACTTAGTGTTTACATATACATGCTACGGTTTAGTATCTAGGATATGAAGAACGTCAATGATTCTTATGATCCATTTTCTACGGAGTTTCTTCGTCCCGTGGAAGTAATGAAATAATCGGCGGTAAAAAAAGATGCATTGTTTTTATTCTATCCTTCAAATTTATCAAATTGATTTTTCCGAAAGTTAAATATATATATATATATATATATATATATATATATATATATATATATATATATATATATATATATATATATATATACACGTTTGTATGTATACACTGTTGTTGATAGGAAAAAATAGCTATGGAAGAAATCTTGCAGCTCCCATGAACACTAGACCTTTCTAACATTGTCCAATAAGGTTTGCTCTCTTTCACTATAAATGTCACATTTCTGTGGTAGAGCGCAAACCTCTCTCACAGATTACCGTGAGTTCGATTCAATTCTAACTTTACGTGAATTTACTTACATTCATTCATTACGACTTTTTCCGAGTGCCTACGTATTTTAGTATATACCATATTTTGCGGCTTATTAGACGCATTTTTCCATAAAATGCCTGCATAAAACACCCTGCGTCCTATAAATTAATGTCAGCGATGGGAGTTAAAAGTTTTAAGTGTGGGGTGGGATGTAGTTCACCAAGTTACGTCCGATGCCGAGCCATTGAAACTAAAACTAGTCCTGTTTCAAAATTACAGTAAATTAATGATGTCTTGAGACAAGATATTTATGGAATACGGATCTGTACTGGGATGCTGACAGAAAACGAAATTCCTCCCTAAGTAACACCTTCCTTTCTTATTTCATAAATTACCGATATCTCAAAGCAGCATCATTTAAGGTAGGCATTTTAAAATAGTGCTACCGTATACTACTGTTAGCACTTACTGGGAATTTTCACTGTAATACTAGGTACCGGTAATCATATTTACCGTATGTTATGGTACTTATAGTGTCAAATATTGCCAAGGAAATACGGTGGCCCAGCAACACCTGAAGAAGCCATTTTGTTTGTACCAATAGTCACTGACAAAGACGCATCAGTATGCACTCTGGGAGCCTCACTATATAGAGTTACGCACACAGCAGCAATTCAGCCACCAGCGACTGTTTCACCAGTTCAAATTGAGAGATCATCGGTGTGTTGAGGTGCCTGGCTAGTCATTAAAGAACCTCACTTCACAGTCCGTAAGCCACTGAACTACAGATTTGGCAGTATGACACTGTGCGTCGTCCTGCATAAAAACCGTAGCCCCACACTTGTCAAATGCCTCAAGTAAACTGTCACACAATAACTCCAGGTAATTATACTGGTTCTTATACTGGTTTCTGGGAAGCACAATGAGTGCACCAACACTCTGAGCACTGAAACACCCCTAAACCATGAGTGAGTCTGGGTGTTTGGTGGTCCCACAGATGTAGCATGGGTCTAGCAGGTCACTACCTCTGGGCCGGTACATGTTCCCCATGGTTACAGGTGATGGTAAAGGTTGCTTCATCACTCCAAAGTACTTCAGATCAATGTTGAGGATTCCAGTGACGATATTTCTTTGCATAATCCAGCCTACGTTTCTTCTGTGGCTTGGAGAGGATTGGTTTCTTAACCTAGCAGTGATTACCGTAGCCCAGTTCTGACACACGTCTATTAACACTTCTTACAGAAACCTCTGAGAGATGACGTGGGTTCTTTTCTTTCAATTCTCAAGCAGTTATATTAGGCATACTCTCTAACTGCTTCTTTAACACAGTTTAGGTACGAACAGATGTCTTCTTTGAGGGGCCAGGCCGAGGTTTGGCAGCCGGTAACCCGTCTTGAAACGCTGCACCCAGTTCCTAACTGAACGATCCCACATACCAACATTCTCCACTATTTCTTTCGTCTGATACCCAGCTTTGTGAAGCCCTATGATTTCAGCTATAGTGTCAGGTGTTAAAGACTTCCTTTTGCCCATAATTAAATACGTATAGCCCCAAAACCAAAGGGAACACCAGACGAAAGATGGGCGGATGAGAGACAAAAGTGCAACACTTCCTCACCGTGGTAGCCACGTGAGCACTGAGGAGTCACTGTGGAGTGTGGCAGCAGGCTGTGACATCACGCTAAAAGCTGCTACCCCGCATAATGCACTTCAGTTACATGCCATAGGTTTTATGGCATTTAACTGAAGAGGATGCAGCGTGGGTTTTGCACGCTGCATCTGGGTGTCGCTCTGTGACGAGATGTGTCTTGGTTGTCCTTCAGAAGGTAGAGGATTTTGTTGTAATCATTAATAAGAAGGATTAAATGTCACCCTCTGTCTGCTACAGCAATAAGTCATTTCGTAAAGATTCAGGTCTTTGAGGTCTGTGACACATCTGGGGATTATCCGAGATGTTAGTTTAGTACCATTATAGTGATGCGGAACTCCTCACCACTTTAATGGTGCTGTTTAGTACTAGTGTCGAGAAGGTGCTTTTTCTTACGTAAATTTGAGGTCTAAATCGAGAGATTTTATTTCTGTGGTGGTGAAGATGTAAGCGGATAGACTGTTAACTCTCTGTGGTAGTCCCATGCAGTCTCGTTTACTACCAGTGCACAGAAGATGTAGTTTGCGTATGAGCTTCAGTCTTTGTTGTAGATTAGCGGTAGTGATTTGCTGAGACAGCCGCTACCAGGAGAAACAAGAACAGAGCAGAACTTGACGATGCCTGTGGATATCTCTTTGAGACAGTCGTAACTGATCTGCGCTTTCTTGGAAGAAGACACAGAGAGCAGGATAGAGGGGGGGCTTAGATGATGTCATTTATTGTGGCAGGGATCACAAGATAACAGCCTCAGTGAGGCAGTCTTCTAAGAAGCTGTGCCGTTGTAAAGACTTCGTGTTTTCAGTAGAAGAGAAAGGTATTCTTTTCGTCTGATGTCTTTTGTGTTAAGCAGTGTCCAACAAATGATGGTAAAGTGTAATGGTACGGACAATATGAACTAAGGGACAAGTTCATAAATGTCAGGATACCTTTTATTGGATACGTAAGTATACAAAGTGCTCGAAGAAGAATAGGTGCCGTAGTATAGGAGGATTCTTAATTACTACTTGAAAGCACCATAGAGCAAAGGGCTGGTAACTACTATGATTCTTAAATTTTGGTATACATGATTCCGCTACAGGTTTCTTCTTAGCTTCCATTCTACAAGAAACTAGATGACCTCATGCCTTCACCTACCGCTCAGGTGTGACTTGCACTCTTCTTTAGAGGCAATGTGTTTTCTCGTTCTTCAATATCATCTAGAATGGCCAATGTTCCAAAACCAAAACGTATTCAATAAAAGATGTCCTGAAAGGTGTGCCTCTCTATCCTTTATTCCATTTTGTCTGTACCATTATACTTTCTACCATCAGGAACTCGTATGAATAAACTATCCACATCATAACTAATAAATATTCTGTTTCGCAGGTTGACAAATAGAATCGTATGTATGCTTATATTTGCTAAGTCAGACGACACCTAATAAAGTACTTTGACTTGATTTAAGGTGGAGGC